CTTTACCACAGAGTATTATGTCCAAACTGCCTGTGATACTCATTTTTTTCTGAAAATAATTTCTGTGATATTTTAAATTTTTAAATGCGCTAGTACTGCTCTTTTCTTTCTCCTTTCTTATACTTAAAGAGCAAAAATAGTATCTCATAAATAATTTTAAACTATTCAACTAATGTTTGAAAAGGGAGAAAAAGAAAAGAAAAAATAAGGTACACCCACATTTCATCTAAGAGAAATATCCCTACCGTTTAAGGTTTTAATACGTCATGAGAAACAGAGAAATGACACCCAGTTTTCTTTCCATGAAACCCTGAAATTAAACTTTCCTTCTCATTCCATCCTCAAATAACTAGTTTCGTTATGGCATTCTGAGCTGCGTTTGCGGAGCAGCCCACCTATTCCTCTGACAAGAAGCACAGCTTATCTGAATGAGGCGAAACTTAATGGAGAAATACGACATCTTTCACCTTTATTTACCAACAAGGAAACTCCATTACAGCCAGTGGGAGGATATGAACATCGTTTGTTTAGTAAATGTTCTGCGCGATCAGCTAAAGATGGTAAAATCTTTTATTTTACTTATATTTTTTTACGTTTTTTTTTTCCCCTTCTTGTGTGAAATATTAGAGTCATTCGTATGGTAATTAGGCTTCAGCGGGGGAAATTGCTTCTTCTCGCGTTTAACTGTAATGAAACGAAATACCTTTAAAATGCTTCTCTGTTTGTTTAGATGGGAGTAAAAACGTCATTGATGGGTAACACTTAATTTTGTACTTTCATAGTGCAGTTGAAGCGCAAAAGAAAAATAGCTCAATTAATTTTTGTTAAGCTTACATAAGAATGGTTTTAAAAAATCCAGCAAACCTAAGCTAAGGTTAATATCTAGGTTAACCATGCGGAGTCGGGATGTTTCTATCTTGCACATGTTGTTAATCTAAAGAAACACTCAATACGAAATTGCTTCCAAAAAATCTACCGCAACTTTTTGATAAAATTAACCATATGTACAGGGACATTCCTTTTCCACCACACATACGAAATCCTTATTAACTATTGTAAAAACAGGCACGCACAGCTTAAAATAGCACATTGCGTTTGTTATCCCGAAGGGCTATTAATAGCCCACAAGGGCTATTAATTTCAAAACGGTATTTTGCGTTGAACTACTAAAAGCACTGATTCAGTTGTCAAATTGTTGCCAAGCATTATCGTCATGCATTATATTTATAGAAATTAAATAATAAATAATCTGCATGAATGTATATATGTTTCTCTAACTGTGAAAGAACAATCGTACCTATAGGCATCAAATTTTAAATAACGTAGTCCTCCACCTTAATATGGGTACCTAGAAGTCCGAATTTTGATTTCCGATTTTGTTTTATTATTTATTTCATATTTTATAAAACGTTAACGAATTTTTAATTAAAAAACAACGATTTGAAAGCGAGCGAATGGAAAAACGTATTGAGTAAAATATTATCTCCAGCCCGCGAGTCTGTCTATCTTAAATTCTAAAGATATGCTGTTTTTAAATATAAGTATCCCAAAAATTCTCGAAATGTGTATGTGTACGTGTAAATGAAAAAAAAAAAACTTTGGGGGTAATATAAAATATAAAATCTGAAAGATTTCAGTGTTTTAGTGTTATTATTCTTTTTTATTGCTGTTGTCAGTTTTAAGTTGTAGATACATTAGGTATTTTGGAAGCGGGAAAGATGAAAAATTAGCAACCTCCTTCGCCCGGAATCGAACCACGGACCTCTGGAATACCGGCCCAGCGTGCAGAACCACTACACCACGAAAGCACGCTAGGAAAGCCGGAGAAATACCTTATATACTTCCCCTTTTAAAGGGCGAGTGGGACTTTTAGTGGACCCAATCGCGAAATCCTGGGTGAGGATAATCAGCATCCAACACCCTTTTAGTTCGGGCGCCACTTTAGAAACATTAGGTATTTTGGAAGCACGAAAGAGAAACAATTAGCAACCGCTTTCGCTGGGAATCGAACGACGGACCTCATTGTGTTGCCATTGATCGAAATAAAACATTGTTGTCTCCCAGTATGCTGAATTCGGCAAAGATTTAGATATTTATCTTTTAAGTTCTATTCAAATATTCGCCTGTGTGTTGTCTTTGTTTGAAGTGTAATATATTTATCTTCCATGCATCTATGTGTTACAATTCGCCGAAGTAAAAGAAGTTTAAATTACAAGTTTGATTTATCTATTATTGATTAACAGACTAAGCGATTTAAAAGCAATAAACGTAATCCTTAATAATATGTAAATCATTTTTAATTTGAGAGATTTAAATAAAAATGTGTTTCTATCTTGATACATTTAATTAACGTTTTGTGGATTTCCTTTTTTTATTCATGGTCCATAATTAATAAAAAGATATAATTTTTAAATTTTTGTAACCTTTCACATTTTTTAAAGAACAATTTCTTATTCAAGAGCTTATACTGTAATTTATAAACTGCAGAGGCAGTTGATTTCCCTAACTGAACTCCTGATAATAATTTTTCCTAATAAAAAACCTTAAAATTCAGCTTAACAGCAATATCTAAGAACAATTTTAAATTTAACATATCTTTAAAATTTTCAATACACTGTCCAGCGCGCTGGAGATATTTTTTTTTTTTTCATACAGTATTGTCATTGCTCACTTTGAAATCATGGAGTTTGTTAATCAAAAAATGTTTTACAAAATATGAAATCGATAATAAAACAAATTCCGAACTCCAAATTTGGGTCTTCAGATGTGCATATTCAAGTGGAAGCGTACGTTATTCAAAATTTTATGGCTCTAGGTTCTGTTGTTTTGTCACAATGCGATAAACATACATACATTTACGCAGATTCTTCATTATTTAATTTCTTTAAATATAATACAAGACTGCAATATTTGATGGCAACAATTTGAAAACGTGAAAAAACATTTATAGTGAATCAACGCAAAATGCCTAATTGTGCTTCTGAGCAAATTGCCCCTGTGGACTAAAAAGCAATAATTGATGTTTTAGCTAATACAAATGATTTCACTATGTATTGCAAATCATAATACTATCATAAAATATAGTATAAATGTACTCAAGAATCTCTAAAAGTAAGAGATGTGTTAAAATCCATTGCATGTTTCGTATTCAGTTGTTAAAGTTGCTTTTGTGCAAATAAAATGCTTTGGAATACTAATGCTTGAAATATATAAACTATGCTTATATATAATAATATATACTAAGCATAGTTTATGTATACAATGCTTGAAACACATATATAATGCTTGAAATACATAAACATTCCAAGGCTTTCCAAAGCATAATTAAAAATAGTTGTCATATTACAAAAATTATACAAGGATTATTAAGTAACGGTATAGATTAAAGAAATTGAACAATAAAAACTATACAATGAATTGCGGTGTTCCCTTCATCTCTTTGCCTAATTTCTATCACAGCTAAAGCCTGGAATCATTGACTGGAAAGATATAGTAATATCAAAAAAGCAAAACATTTGGTTAATTATTGATTAATTCATTAATGAATAATTAACCAAATGTGGTACTGATTTGAGCAACTTAAATGATTCATTAATCATTTAATATATTTATAACTGTGTTATGAATTTTAGTAACTGAATCAATAAAAGTGTATTAATTGGACTCATGAAAATGCAAACATAATTATCGTTTTTAAAATAATGATTATAGACGGCTGGCTGCGCAGGTGGTTAGTTGCTTTTAAATAGCCGAGTTTGTTAATAAAAAATTTACTAAATTCTCACAAATTAGGAAATAAAATGAAATAAAATGGTGATAGTTAAAGATTTCTCAACTGCGTTTCAAATACTGCTAACTGTAAATAAACATTTACATAAATAAAATATTATCAGGCATGCAAGATAAATTCTCAAAATTAGCATGAGTATAAACTTCTTAGAAAAAAGTAGAAAATTCTAGTTTGTTTTTTCTGTCTGAGTCATTGAGAATAATATAAACGTGAAATGACTGAAGGAATTCCAGCACCACGACTCTATTAACACTTTCACTGTCGCGTCACCAATATTCGGGTGACGACAAAAATTCTGATTAGGCTTCGTCAGCCGCGTATTCGAGTGATGGTAAAAAATCAGATTAGGCCGTGTGGTCTACATTCAGGTGACAGTTCTTTTTGGTATTTACGAGGTAAAATGGTATTCGAAAAAAGTACTGTTGATTGGTGAAAGAAAGATACGAAAATTATTATTGCCAGCAGCTAAATACACTCCATTCACATAACTGAATTTTGCTTTCTTCGGTATCAACTTTTCTTTCTTCTTAAACAACAAATTCGTGCAATATATAATCAGCAGTATCTCTACCACATTTATTATCACTCCTTTATCAGAATCTGAAAACGTAATTTTGTTTAAAATTATCTTTCTAAAACATTTCGACTGTTCCTCGTCGGTACTATTCGAGGTTTGAACGAAAGCCTCGCAACAAGTTTCTTCTTCACTGTTATATGATGCACTGAAACATTACTCTTTAATTTTTCTTTCAGACTTCCAAAAAGTTCGAAAACTATTTTAACACAAAAAAATTAACCGTTTTTCACTATATAATAAATATTTGGAAAAGGAAACATAATTTTCGAAACTGCCACCCTTTCTTGCGCACGTCAGCGTGTTGAATTTTAATTAGAGGAAGGAGAGTGAGACACGAAATTTTTTTAAATATCACGAATATGGATAACTTATTTCATTTTGCAAATTATAAATCTACATATGCCCATACATGTGTACATATATACATACACAAACACACACATAAATATCCATATATACAAATAAATAGTTCCCATCTCGATGTCTTTGTTTAATTTGTAAGCCATTTATTGACTTCAAAGTTTTAAGTTTGATTTATAAAGTATGAGCAATAATATATAAGTATAATGTGCGAAGCATCGTTAAAAAGTCATATGAATTGCAAAAATAGACATTCATCACAAACATATTAACCTGTATATAGGTGCTGGGTGACCTTGAGCTACGCATGGAATCAGAACAGTATCCCCTTGGCTTGATGAAACATGCCTGGCAAAGTGAGTAAGTCTGGGAGGAACTTCAGATTGAGGTTCTGTGAGGAAGAAAAGTTTCACATTGCAAATTAATATAAAAAAGAGTATGTGATAAATTAGAAGGAAAAAACGAACCAGTTTCAAAACATCATCTAACATAAAAATGAAAAATACGGTGGAAATATATATTCAGCATACATGCACGATGAAAATTCTTTTCGTTTTTATCAGTGCCAGTTTTCAAATGGAAAGTTCTTATACTTTCAGCTCATGATTTTTGATCGAACTTGTCATAAACTCCCATGAGTTTTGATTTAAAATTCAATTTTATGAACACAAGAAGAAAACTGTGTTATGCTTTTCCCCAAGCCTGCTAGTAAATTAACTAACTATATGTCAATTTTCGTGTTTTAAATATATATGATATTTTATAGAATAAACATTACTAATAATAGAGTACATTAACATACAATGTTATGAAAATAATTTGAATAACCCAATAGAATTCTTCCAAATTACTTACTGCTATAAACCAATGTTGGTAAAATTACTATAAAATATAAATATATTGTGCATAAAATTCTATAATGCACTAAAATGGAGAAGGTTTGGTTTATTTAATTATGGCAAAAAAAAACTAGAGGGCTATCTGCCTGAGAGGAGGGATGCCTGTTTAAAGGATCTTTTAAGGAGAACTGGTTAATATATAATGTATAATAGTAATAGTAATTTATAAGGAGAACTGGTTAATATATAACACATAGAGAAAGCCACGAAAGCACCCATGTAGCCAGCCCATTTGTCGGGACTCAAATAACACCGCGCTTATAGTCCTTAAAATGGAAAGGAAGCTATACATAATACTTAAACGGTTATTTACCTCATATTATTTTGTAAATGCATACAGTGCAACAATTTTTGTGCAGTTTCAACCGTGAAATTGCACTAAAGACAGGAGCTTTAAGTGCAATCACAGGACAGAGGAACATAATTTATAAAGTTCATTTCGGATGTTTTAAATATAAATTGTATAAAAATTCTTATTGCGCTGAATTGTATACAAGAAAGAATTATATTTTATTGTACTAACATTTTCATTCCATTTTCTTTGCCGTTTAAATAAAAAGCCAACGAAAGGGCGGTGTGGGTAGTATTTTTAAAGTATATTATTTTTGTTTGATTTATTATTTTATTCGTACTTTCTTCACAGTAATTATTAATGCATTTCCATTTTGATGCGATTCATGAATTTAAAATTTTGTTATACTAAAATTACCTATTATTAGGTAGTGCAGAACGCCACGAGTGTTTTTAATATTTGTTTGTTGAAGCATCATCTAGAGAGTTAAATGAAGGTAAACAGTGAAATACTGCTGGCACTGAAAATGAGATATTTAATTGCACCAGTAAGTAACATTAGCCCAGAGTTTTGCTAACTTATAGTATATTTGACATGAATGATCCAAAGTTATATTTCCAACATATTTCGTTTTTCCTGGGAAAAAAGGACAAAATCGTTGACTAGATATGCAAGTAGATTTATGTCGTTTAATGAGATGATATTAAAGTTGAATTAATTGTTCACTAATGATTTGCTATACTCAAAAAAATTTAAATTCTAGCCTTAAAAAGTAAAGTTTCCGGTAAGCGACTTTATTGTCATCAAAGGATGACAATTAGTTTAGACATAAAATGAGTGCAGCCAGAGATTGATGATTAGAAAAATATCAGAAACATTGAACATTCTCAAACGCACGCTTTACTGAATTTTCATGAAATTTGGAAGCATCTCTCACTATGACATAAAAGTCTCACACTATTTGTGAGAGAAAACAGTTTTGATTAGTCTTTCAATTGCGGTATGCTTTTGCAATAGTGCAAAGCAGGTTGCTTTTTTAACATTTGCTAATTGGTGATGAATTGAGAGCCATAATACGAACTTTATGCAAAAATATTATTAAGTTAAGCCACGCATGAAGCAAATAAAAGTCTAAGGCCAATCATTTGTTCACAGAAGGTCATGCTATGAAAGGCCAAATTTAAGACTATTCTTTACATAAGTTGCTAATAGAAAGAACTATATCAACCATACAGCAAATCAGATCGGGTTTAATGATTATGAGTTACCTGAGTTCCATCAAAACAAAACACAAATGCTTGCAGCTATGACCATTGGCAGACTATTGAACAAGTTAAAACTATTGAGAAGCTCTTTTCTATCCATCACGAAACCTTGTTATTGCATATCACTTCAACTTATTTGGTTTGTGTATAACTCATTGAATGAAAATCATGTTTGAAGCGTCAAAAGATGCGCACAAAATTCTGTGATGGTAGCTTTTCGAAGCTGTCAGAACGATAATCTTGAGTTTACGGAAATAATAGGAAACGCTTTGCAGATTGCTATTCTTCATTAGTATAATGAGTATTTTATTTTCTACATTAAATAGGTCTAGAATTGTCTGGAAGTCCCTACTCATATAAGCCCCGCAAAAAACAATATTAACAACTCTGCAGGGAGCCACCTCAGTGGTTCACTTTTGTGAGTACGAGTGTGGCAATCCCGAGGTACCCTAACCCTTCAGGGGATCATCTTGGTGAGACGGGTGTCACGATCCTGGTGTCCTAGTGATCTATCCTCTTTCCGTCTCCTCTCCTCTGACCTGTTACTTTTTCTCTTCCTTTCTCCCTTGTGGTTTTCCTCTTAGGAGGTTGGGGCTCGTCATAAGGAACTGGAACAGCCCTTGTCTCAAGTTTCGGAGTGGCGAGAAAACTGTCCACGTGTTTGCCGTGCGTGGAGACCCGTGTTGCAGGAAAGGAGGGTCCTGTTAGTTGAGGGGCGAGGTACTGTCCCCAAAACACTGCTTTGGTCTCTGCTTCAGCTAAACGGAAGGCACCTTAGTCGTTCTCACGGGTGTCTATCGGCTGGTCACTAGTTGTTGTGTCAGTGGTTGGGGATTAACTCTCGGGAGTGCCTGCTTTCGGGAAAGCTGATTGTGGGACTTCAGTTTGCGTATAGATCTGGCTAGCCCTAACACAGGAATTTGTGCTCCGTTTTCGGGCTCCGTGGTGGGCGGGGCCATCGGACCCGAAACCTTCCTCTCTTCAATATGGCAAATTCTCACATTTATCTAATTAAAGACTTCGAAATTAGTCAAGTAGGTCAAAGCGTTAGTTTTGAAAAATCTGCTGCTAAAACGTACGTAGAGATGAAAATGCAAATAATTATAATAATAGTCCCCGTTTCCTTGTTATCTCTAGTCCTTCTTGCGAGCTGCCGAAGATGTCTCCTTTTGTAATAAATAAATACGTACATTCATTCTTGTATTGGTGAGCCCAAAAATATAAAGCTTCTCCGGTCTGGAGACTTGCTTGTTGATACAGTTTCGGCGACTCAGTCTGCATCATTACTTGAAATAACCAAACTTGGACAAGCGAATGTCGCTGTAACAGCACATAAGGCACTGAATTATTGCCGTGGTGTAATTTCAGAATTCGACATTCTGTATGCTTCTGAAGAAGAGATCGCATCCGAGCTGTCTGACCAAAATGTCTGCGGTGTTAGGCGGATGAAGATGCGTAAGGAAGGTAAGTTGATCGATACGAAACACGTGATCCTGACCTTCAACACGCCTGATCCGCCTAAGAATATTAAGACCGAATACTTAAATTGTCCTGTAAGATCTTATATTCCAAACCCTATGCGATGCTTTAATGCCAGCGTTTCGGCCATTCTAAGACGTCTTTTCGTGGCAGCCTCGCATGCGCCCGATGATCACAGATTGGCCACTATCTGATAATTGTACCGCTGCGCCTTTGTGTATAACCTGCAAGGGTGAGCACCCAGAATTTTCTCGCTTATGGCCAAAATGGAAATTGGAAAAAGAAGTGCAGACTGCAAAAGTTACTAGGAACATCTCATACGCCGAAGCCAGAAGATTAGTCCAGAGCGCACAGGTTCGACCAAATACATCATACGCCAGTGCTGTTCAATCATCTCGTACAGTTGCCACCCAAACATCAATAAGTACGCCAACTATACCAAATGAAACCCAACCGAGTACATCCAACAAGAATTTAGAAAATTCAACCCATTTAATACAAAAAAGAAACAGTAATTCAAAGAAAACCTAAAAATTTGAGATAAACATTAATTAATAAAAATAGAAGCCTCAGGGATAGCTCTCTTGATGGGATGGTTTCTGAATCTGTGCATTCAGATAGTATGGAAGTAGAAGAGGGTCTGGAATTTCCCAAGCATCTACTTCCACGAAATCCTAAAATGCTGCAGTGAAATAGCAGACATTAATCATAATGGCCACCCTTGTCTCATGGAACTGTCGCGGTTTCCACCGAAATTTTCTTGACATCAAAGCTGTAATAAATGCGTATCATCCTGCGTGCTTAGCAATACAATAAACAAATCTCAAACCAGAACAGCATGCAAAACGTCGGAGGTTTAATTTCTTCAGGAAGGATAACCTTGCAGGTGAGTGTGTCAGTGGGGGTGTAGGCCTCCTTATCTCACTGGATTATCCATCAAATACTCTTCCTCTGACGACATCACTCCAAGCTGTCGCTACACAAGCAAATTTTCATATTCTTGTTTCAGTCGTTTCTCTGTATTTTCCTCCAAATGAAAAAATTGATCAGCAGGATTTAATTGGCCTGATAGAGCAGCTGTCTGAGCCCTTTATAATAATAGGGGAATTTTAACGGCCATAGTCCACTCTGGCAAAGTAAAAACAGAAATACCCTACGAAGACAAATTGAGCGAATGATTGAAGATCATAGCCTTTGTCTCCTCAATAATGGCCAGGATACTTACTTCCATGAGCCTTCAAGGACATTCCACGCTCTCGAACTTGCCATCTGTTCACCATCTCTGTTGCCATTTTGCACTTTTAATGTGGAAAATGATCTTTACAACTGCGATCACTATCCCATTTTTATATCTCTTGCACGAAAAGGGGAAATCCTATGTCGAGAACCCCTCGGTTCATACTCGATAGGGCAGTCTAGGAACTCTCTGTTCCGTTGCAGAATTCACAGAGGATAT